AACTGTCTCTGCTCAGAACAAGTGTGTTATTAAATCTGGTTCATGTACTGCAGATTTAATAATGCAGTTACTGTCAGAAAGATTACATGATCACCATTTTAATTCTGTAAGAAAACCCCTCCAGGAGCTCTGTCAATCCACTGCTAAATGCTGTGAGGAGGTGGGGATGGTAATTTATAGAGAGGAGGAGGAGGAAATGGGCCCCACCAGTTGTCACTACAGGATACCGAGCCCAAGAACAAGATAAGAGAGAAGCTCTGGGCACCAAGCAAGATAACATGTCTGAGTCCAGTGAGAAGGAACAGGGTGATACTGGATTTTTTTTTCTTTGACCAAGCTATGACTTTGTCTTCCCAAGGCAGCTGCAGTACTGGCTTACCTTGAGGAGCTGACTGGAGCCTCTTGGCTACATGCAAAGGCAGCAATTATGCTCATGGGGAAGGCAGCTCATTGAAGGAGCACCCACAGGGAGCGGTCATGGGTGCTGAGGATGTGACCTGTGTGATGTTTCTGTTTTCCGTGCTTTGCTCTCTACTAACTCTTGTCTGCTTCTGTGGCCTGAGCTCACTGTGGTGCTAAGACCAAATCAGCCGGTTTACCTCTGGTTTAGGTGCCCAAAGGATGCTCTGTAGTGTGAATCAAAGTACAGGAGTAGAGGACAAATAGGATATTTGCTTCAAAGGTGGGAGCAGAAGGTGATTGCTCTGAATGTATCCTTGCATAGCCATTCTGTCTCCTCTGTATTTCAGCCTGAGGTAATGAACTTCCCCACTTCTCAATTTGCATCTGTAGACTACAGTTTCTCCAACCTTTCAGTAGTAAAGTTTGCATTAGTGAAGCAAACTTTTTGTTCTTTCACGTGCTCACAGTATGAGGTGTAATTACTTTTTACAAAACCTTGTGAGTTAGCTTTTTCTGGCTTTCTCTCAAGCGCAGCGCTCTCTTCATTTCCCCTTGTTCCATAGCGAGCACTTTCACTGCCTAGCCATCACTGCTTACCCCTTGTTCAAGTCGCAAGTGTAAGCTGCTCTGGCAGGTGAAAGGCTGCTTTCAAGTAATCACTGATCTTACCAGCAGTAATATGAGAAAACAGAGAAAACACCATTTGCTGATTATGATTGCTGTTTAAGTATCTATGAGTGTAGATGAGTGAGAGGCAGAGAACATTGTTGTGAGTCAGTAGAAATGTTTTTCCCTGCAGGCATTAAGAGTGAAGACGAATATTTTTGAAAGAAAGCTTGTAGCTTTTTGCTGCCTATTCACACTGATAATGGTAGCTCTTCTAATTCTTTGCCCTTGAGTCTTTATATGCAGTTTTCCCCCTTCTGCTTGTCATTTGCTGATGTATTCTCCTCCAGCAGCCAGGCAACAGCCAGGACTGGTGCTTAGGTCAATTGGAAGTTTATCTCTGCTAGTTTTGCACTTGTCAGTGCTACTTGTTTCTGTTGACTTCATTATTTTTGGACCCAGAAAATTAGAAATTGTTAGACATGTTGGGTTGATTTCAATGTGCTGCTCACAACCACCTCCTCATTGGTACAATCATCTGGAGCTGGGTTTGGGCAGGCTGAAACACCTTTCAGTTTGAATGGCCTTTAGCAGAATGCCAGGTTAGGCTACTGGGATGTTCAGTGCATAAGGGAGAGGACCCAAGTGACAGTGTCTGATCTGTGACTGATCTTTGGAGAAGTCTGACATCTCAACTAATTGTCTTCTTGCTTTTAATTCCTCATATATCATTTATTCGTGCGTAAGAAGTAATAGAAATATAATGCTGACATTTCTTAGGCACCTTTGTTAAGTATATGCAATATTAAATATTCAAGTTAAATTGTGTTATTTAAAAAACAAATGTTCATGTAGCGCCATCTATCGTCAAGCATTTGCAGCCGCATTTTATTTTTAGAGAAGTAATCTCAGCAAAGCTTGGAAATTAATTATTTGGAGTGGAACACAATCATTCATGACCTGTATTTTGTAGGATTTTTCTAGTTTTGTGTGCATCTGCACACACGGCAAGCCAGTGAGTTTGAAGCTTATCTGGATACATACGCAGAGATCAGTCTGAAATCGGGATAAGGAGGATTTGTCCAAAAAACTGGAGACCTATTTTAGCTTGTTGTGGGTAGAGGAAGGCTACAGGCACCTGGAAATGGGTAGTGCATGCTGAGCTGTTAGTTACTTCTGTCTAGTGCCACTGACCTGTGGATCCATAGAATTACAACCAAAAGACAATCACACGGTGATGGAAGATTTCCAGAGTTTCGTGTTCCATTTATCTTAATGGCTTATACATTCAACCTGGCTTTAGGTGTGTGTATATGTGTGTGTTTGTATATATTATATATATATATATATATATATATATATATATATATACATATATATTTTTCTCCTAGTGTTTTTTTTGTCCCAGTTGATTACTGGGCTGCAAGTGCAGGCACAACAGTGTGGTGGCTGCTGCTCTCCTTTGATAAAATGTCAACAGATATAAGAAAGATATAAGAGAAAATATGTGGTGGAGTTTGGGAAGGCAGGAAGAAGCATTGTTCCTTTGGTACCTATTTGCTTAAAAATAACCAGGCCATCTTTAAACCTTACGTACAGGCTAGGAAGCAGTGAGGTTTGGGAGTATTCCCAGATGTTGCCCAGTAGTTGTGTTGCTGACCTCACTTCTTCACAGCAGAAGAAATCCAGAATGGGACAGAGAAGCAGTAAGAGTTTTGGCCTTATTGCAGTATCCCTACTGGCAGATCTGGCTGTAATGACCAAATGCAGCCATTTGCTAATTGCCTTTGTGGGGCACAGAAGTGTCTGACCTGGAGAGAAGCATTCTCCAGCAGAGTCTGCTTCAGATGTGGGTGAAGAAAGGTCACGCTGCAACAAAAGGAAGCAAAGCTTTTAAACGTCATCCCCTATGAGGCAGGTGCTAAATATGTCCTATGTCTCCCAGCCGAGCCAAGCTTTTAAATGCATGCTGACTTTAAGCAGGTTAATTATACGTTCTCTGATGAGCACTGCAGAGTGCTTTCTTCCATAAATAAAGTCTGCCTTTGAGTACTTCTCTCAGAAAGTCCTTATACGTTACTGGAAGGCTCACAGCTGCCATGATGCCATTGGCAGGACAGAAAGTGGCTTACAAACCAGTAATAAAGACAGTTATTCACAGCAGAGAATAAATAACGTAGGCTTTGATACGATGGACTCCCTCTCTTTTCCTGTCTAGCTGTCTGAGCCATTAAATACAAGAGGGGATTTTTTAGCTTTGCAGCTAGGATGGCTCTGAGCCGCGATTTGAGCGCTCTGGTTTGGTGCAGACTGTGGCTCTGCCTCTCTGTCACTAGAGGTCAGCAAAGGACCTCTGTGCTGCCTGGTAGCTTGCAGAGAGCTGCGTGCTACCATCTCAGGGCTTTAGAGGAGACTACGATTTCTTTTCGTCTGGAAAAGGGTTTCTGAACATGTGGGATTGGATTTAAGAATAAAACAAATGCCTAGTTCACAAAAAAAGTGAACTGTTCTGGATTTAATGATGATTTTTCCCATAAAGTGTGTACAATACATTTTAAATTATGCATAGCTCTATTACAGTATAATCAGTGCAAGTACATACACAGAGTACAATAAATTATGCATCTGCCCTTAATATTTCATGAGTAAGAAGCATAGCATGTATTGATTTCATTTAGACTCGAGCATTCAACAGAACACTTAAACATTTCTATTTTTAAATCCATGAATCACCATAATGGGACTGTTCATATGCTTTCAGTTAGATACTTAACAACCTTGCTGAACTTCAGCCACAACAATAATCAGATTAATGTTTTGAATGTGTAGCCAAGGGATCGAAGGAGAGCCATTTCATCTATTTCATCAGTTTTACTCGTTTCTTGGCATACCCTTTTAGAGAAGAATGCTGGGTGGTGGTGATGGTTTTTCTTAATATATACGTATAGACTATATGCATACACATATATACTCAGTGAAGGAAAGTTCAAAATAAAGCTTCTCTGACAAATCAGGCTGACAGGGAGTGCTGTCTCTGTCAGTACTCCCTTAAGAACCAAAATCTTATTGACAGTTCAGAAGACAGAGCTCTGGTTGAACAGTGGAGATTGCTTACCTTGGACCAGCTGGTAATGTTAGGACTTCCAGCTGCTTCCCCACACGGGTGTCTGAGATGCTTGTTAAATATCTCAAGCACCATCACAGTTTGTAACACCTTTGTAAACACAGTACCAGATTGGGCACTTTTCACATCCTGAACATGCAGTTTCAAACTATATTCTATGCTTTCTCTAAGACAACGTTTGTCTTTTAATAGAAAGGTCAGAAAGGATCAAGAAGTCTGCTTAAGCAAGAAGTTGCACTAAATAAGTCATTTTATTTGGCCCTGGTTGTAATGCTGAGGAAGCTGATATTTATTAATAACAAATTGTATCAGGGTTTTTTCATTTTTAAAAGCTGGGATAAGTAGTTGACTCGGTTGGAAAACATGTTAGTGTGCATGCCAGTGTTGAGCCATTCTGGATAAAACATCTCCTTTAACAGATCTTTAATACTGCTGTGCTTTTCTTCCGCAAGTGTTTTTGTGGTGAACTGAGAAAACCAGCTCAGACCTTTCCTATAGCACTAAAGTTTAGTATTTGATTGTTGTTTGTTTTTTTCTTTCTGTTTGCTCTAAGGATCAAATTAAAATGGTTTGTTTTGTGTTACGAAAATAAGTAATTTTCAAATTGTGTTTGTCAAGTTCTGAGTGTGTGATAGATTCCAAGCCTTCTGACTCTAAAACTGTTGTTGTGTTACTCAACTGTAATTTTTGAGATCCAAAAATGGTTAATCTACCAAGAATATATGGTTCTTAGCTAGATAGGTCATATCAATGGTAGTTAATGATGATACAACAATATTTAATCTATTTTCTGCTCTGCATTCTTTTTCATTTTTTCTCATCAGAGAAGGGACAAAAGCTCAAGCTAATTATTTTTCACTTACTTGGAGGGGTTCAGAACTTGTGGATCTCACCAAGTAGACAATATCTCGTGGTTCCCCAGCTCAAGCAGCAACTTTTCTTGTATTCATCTCTGTAGATTAAAAACAAGATTATTCAGATACATAGGAAAAGGATATTTTCTCTGCGTTAGTAACTGTTGAACAACCTGAAGGATAAAATCTCAAAAGACTTCCTTTGTAGATGCAATTCTTTTTATGTGGGGCAAAAGACAGATCTTTAAGCAAGCCGCTACTTAATTGTATGATCTAATGGCATCAAAGTTTAGTTACAGTTCCCTTTAATTATTACAAAAAATATATATATATATTGGAAACGTGATAATTCTAAAATCAGATCATGCCATACATTATGTCTGTCGGCTTGCTCTGCAAGATGGGAAAAGAGCTTTGCACACTTCCAACGTAAATGTCTCTTCTTCTCTGGTGTTGTTAGTTGAAAAGACTTTTTTAAGAAACAGTTAAACTTGATGCATCGCTTAAAACAGTTTAAGGTCTCCCTATCAGTGAAAGAAATGCCGTGGCTGCTTCAGACTGTCCAGCTTTGTAGCAGATGGACAATAGAGAGAAAAGAACTGAAAGCTTAGGGAAAGAGCTGTTAAGAAGCAGAGGGGCTCACAGAGGTCCCTCTTATGATAGCCTTGCCGCAGCTGGCAGCTCACAGATGTATGAGCAAGATGCCTCGCCCCCTGCCTCATCCTTCGTGAATTTCTCAGTACTTCCTTTGAACCCACCTAAGATTTTCACATTCACGTGGTCCTCTCTCAGCGTGTTCTGCAAATCAGCTGCATCTGCCCCCATAAAGATGTCTCCTGCTAGAAAGGGAATAGCCTAAGGCTAATGTCCCTGTTAGATCCTGTGTAAATCCTAATGGAAAGCAGGGAGAGCAGCTGAGTCATTGATGATAATGCTGGTTTCTAAATTTGGAGTCAAGAATCAAAGTTTAGGCACCTATAATGGAAAGTTTTTGTTTCCACAGTAAAGGAGAAATATGAATTTTGCTACTGAGAAAGTCAGATGATATGAATTCTAGTGAGTAGTAAAGCCCACAATTTTATGACATTGAATTGGAAATCTCTGCAGTTCTGCATCTGCTACCAAGCTTCTGCACAACCCTGTAGGTCTGCCTGACTCCATCTGAAAGAGAGACAGAAATTCTACTTCTGACCTGAAAACAAAGCAGCTCCAAGCAGATGGGGGCAGCCTAGCTAGCACACATCAGTGTATTTGCCATCGCTGCTTAAGAGGACAAGGCCTGTGACCCTGTCTCAGGTGGGAACAAAGCTATTTACCCAAGGCCAGGCAGAGAGCTTTACATCAAAGCCCTCAGTTACAGCCTGGCATCTTAACCACTGGGCTGCTGTGCCTCAAGACCGGCCCTTTTCTAAGGCGTGGGTGTGATGCGAGGCTTAATTCATAAACGGTTGCAAATATATGAAGAAAAACAGGGTGAAGGTGACATTAGAAAAGAAGTGCATTAGGCTGTCTGCTGGGCAGTAGCAGCTGGAATATATCAAGGCTGCAGTAATATTCGATGGTGCGTGTACTTCACTTCAGGAATGCTGCCAAATGGCATTTTATTCATACCTTGGAGCTCCGTTCAGATGAAAAAAGTTAATTTCCATGCTTTTTTTTTTTTAAGCAACAAAATGCCTGCAGGTCTTTAATACAGCTTGACTGTGTTGGAAACAAGGCCTGACTCAGAGTAACAAGCACCATCTGAGCTGACATTATTTACGCTCAGTTAGGGTTTTAACAAGTGGCTGTGACAAGGGTGAAGGTGATGCTTTCAGAGCCAAGATTTTAGTGGACAGCACTAAATGACAGAATTACTGACCCTTACCCCAAGGCGCCGAGAAGAAACAGCTTTCTGTTAAATGTTTGTTTCTATTATGTCTTTATTTACTCTTTCCCACAATTCCTCTTCAATCTCCAAGTCACAGAATCACAGAATCCAATGCAGCAGTTCTATAACCAGCTGTGGTTGAACTGTGTTTGTTTTTTTTTCTCTAAGTGTTTAATAAACAATCCCACCCGTATTTCTTTAACCAGGCTGATGCTATCCCACTTTTTTTCTCCCGGCAAAGAAAACAATGAGTTGCAGATGGGAACCTGCAACCCTCCTCTGGGTGAGATCCCTTCCTTAGGTATGTTTCTCAGTAACAGTGAGTTAAGATCTGCTGTCCTAGCCTCACTTGCTGATTTTTGCTTTCGGGGTTAATGTGAAGTCTGTGGAAGGTGTTAGTAGATGTTTTATCAGTGTGCTTGACACACCCAGCTTTGAAGTACTGCTTTCCTTCTGAATTGCCCCCTGCATGCAACGTCTGCCACCTGCTACATCCTTGTTCGTGCAGAGGTAGATTTATTTTCATTCCTTTTACAGCAGTCCTTTGGTAAGCAGCACCCCCGGTGCTGGCACTGCCTATTAATTGCCATGTTTCCCATCTGGTGCTGTACAGTCTGAATCTCTTCAGCCAAGTACACACTAAGTTGTGGTCAGATGTAAGAACTACCTGGTGCCAGTGGTCCAGAGCTGGCATCAAGGACAGGTTTTGTGCAGGATAAATTGCCGTTGCCACATTGTTTGGACTGCCCAGCTGTGGCTGCTGTTGCTTAGCTACAGGATTCAGCCCAAGCCGTAGCAGAGATGGCACTGAAGCATTTCAAATATGACAAGACCCAAAGGATGCTCATCGCTGTACGTGCAGGAATTTTACAGGTCCCGTATGCTGAGATTTTAGTGACCGTGGCTGTTAGCTTACATGGTGCTGGTTAGAGAGGATTGCATTGCCACTAGCTCAGCTGGGGAAGCTGGGGTGCTTGCATTCTGTGAACAGAGACACTGATTTTAAGGATTGTGTGTGTCTGGGGAGGGAATTACTGAACAAAGGTCCTTGAAAAGGGGGAACTGAAATAAGAGAGGAGTTCCTTGGTAGCTTCTGCTACCAAGAAAAAGCGCTAATGTTCTCTATGGACATCTCTACTCTTCCTATAAATTCTTTATATGAATCATTAATTAGTGGAAGCACGTTCTCATGGCTCAAGGGCAGAGCAGTTAAAAAGCAGAAAGCTGCAAGATGAAATGTGAAGTTTCTTTTTAAGATGCCTTTGACGTTTTGGAGACTTTTGAGGAAAATTAGGCATGCAACCCCCACTTTGTTGCCGAAATACAACTCTCTGTAGGACTGGTTCCCAGAGTTAAAGCCTGGTTCCTAGAGCTGAGCCACGTTATGTGTTGGCAACGTGAGCTGTGCAACTGCCCATACGCGACGTGTGTGTATCGATGCGTCTGTCTGCAACACTGACGCTTCTCAGCTTCTCACTGCTGCTTTGCATTGGTGCCTTGCTTTATATCTCTACAAACTGTGACTGCGTTTTTACAGCGTCATGAAAACAAATGATTTTGACTGCCCTGGATTTGTTTTCGGTTCCCAAAGCGGCTACATGTGAAGGACAAGAGCGCTGCGCTTCCAGCAATACTAATTAATAGTCTGAAGGTGTGTTCTCATTTTGACAGTTGAATTTAATCACAGTTCATCTGAACGCAGAATGGCTCTCTGGAACTCCAGCAGAACCTGGTGAACGCTGTGAACACAAGGATTTAAGTGATAATCAAGATTTTTGGAAGGGATGTGATTTGTCATTTTCCAGGGCATAAGCCAGCCTCTCAGTAGGAAAGGGCTTCATGAAACTTTCACTGTGGAAAATTTTTGAGTCATTATGGCATAGTGCACAGTTCTCACATGCCTGCCTGTAAGTGCCAGTGAGCAGCACCAAAAGAGGAGAGTGCTGACTGCATTTATCTTGAGCTTAACCCTCTCATTTTTCTGAGCTTACCTTTTGGATACTAGGACCCCCTGTTATATTGCAAACATGCTTGGTGACTTCTGCCATAGCTTGCTCTCAAAGCAGACGAGGGGAGATGCTGCACAGAGGAGAATGAAGGGGAGCTATGCTCAGACGCTTCTGCATCTCATTTATGGGGGGGGGAGGGGGTGGGAAGTCAGAGATAGACAGGAGAGTGCCATTCTTTCGGCATCAGCATAATTACCCTAGAGAAACGACAACAGACTGGGGTCTGCTCTCTTCTAGTGCTAGCGTAATGAAAGGTAACAGTCTTATGAAAATGAACAGATGTATTTCAAGGCTCCCTGACGCTGGCGCCGGGAGTGCAAAGACCACCTGCCTGCACTCGCAATTCCCCTCTATGGCGACTGTGGTGCCGGCTGCTGTGGAAAGGCAGACTGTGGAGAGCACTTCTTTAGGTTCAGCTGTCTTCAGTATGAGTCAGCAACAGCAAATAAAAGAGTAGAGCAGCACTGATGGAGCTGTGTCCCTGTGCTGGTCTGTCTACAGAGCAAAGCCACAGGGAGAGGCTGTGCTGGAAAAGCTTCATTGGAGCTACTGGCCTTACTGGTCTATGCAAAGCTACCGCGTGTATGCCTACACCTCCAGAATGATGCTGGAACAAAGGGACTTATAAAAGGTTAAGGACTGCAGTTCTGGCTTTCTGCTTATCTTCTGCATCTCTAAAGATTGTTCTTGATGCTACCTTTACAGATGTGAGCTGAGGAAGGAACTGAGTTGACCACAGAACTGACCTATTCTATTTTCCCTGTTTTATGGCAGAGAACCAATATGGATGAAACCTTATCAGTTAAGATGAGAAAAATTCACTATAAAATATTTTGCATTATACTTCTGGTCCATGTACAGTGGCACAACCTTACTGAGAGAAAGTACACTGAGTGACCTCATATTATTCTTATTTCTTACTGTTAAAAGCTATTTAACTTCCCCACCTGTATAAATAGTGGGGAATAAACCCCTTCTTTGAAACCCCTTCAGTGGTTTTTGACCCCAAATTCAAAGGCAAGAGAACCTCTCTATGAAGTACATGGTAACGCACCAACTTTTTGTAGAGGTCCTCTTTGAATAACAGAGCAGAAAATGGAAGCTCATAATCAAATTAAACATTCTTCTGTTGTTGCCTAATAAAGAAAATTGCCTTAATATATGGCTTTCAGAAATCTGTGTCATATATATATGTGTCATTTATGAGATTGTTCCAACA